CCCACTTCTTGCCCTATCCGGCCCTCCCCGCACATGGTCGTGATCATGGCGGGCTGCTTCACTGGAGGCAGTACTTGATTGGCTCTATGGTGTTCTCCGGGACATGCACGGAAATGCTTATGGCCGTCGGGTTTTCGGCCTCACTTGTTCTGTCAAGTGCAGTTTTTTTCGGGGCCGACACAAATTGAAATGATGATTTTGTCAAGTCATCCTTGAATTTTTTTTTCCCCCTTCTTTTTCTGGAGTGCGTGTCCGGTCATGCTCGTCGATACATAACCGCACAACGGACGCACGATTCTGCCAGACTTCCGTAAACTTTTCACTCCCACACCACGACGTGATCTGAGTTGCTAGGCTTAGAAGCTGCTTGGCCTTTTCTCTGTTTATTTCATCCTTTTTTTTTCCTTTCTTTTTTATTTATTTATTTAATTTTTTTCCCTGGTCCTTCCCCTTATCCCTTTGTGTGTTGAAGGGACGGAGATGGGATGGACTTTTGAGATGTCGAATTTTGTGGGGGCAGCAGATACCGCACACTACCACTCGAGCGTAGCAACGGCCCCGAGAAAAGGGGGTCTCCCAGGATGCAAGGTCCAAATGCGTTTTATTGAGAGCGGAAAGGGATGAGGTCCCGAGCGGGATATCGCCATTGGGGTCTGTTCAATCAACTTGCTGGAAAGGGACATATGTAGGTGCCTCGGCGGATGGCTCAGTGAGCACCCTCTTGATGTGCCAAACAGTCGGTGATTGGCGGTTCGGAGTCCCGTTTGCAGTCTTGTAGGGGCATGCGTGCTTAGCAGCCCCCTTGCAGTAGATGAAGGTGACGTTCCGAGCGGGGGTTTTGAGAGAAGGTTAACGGAGACCCAAATTTCCAGACCATTTGCCATGCCATTTATGTGAAAACCAAAGGTTCATTTTAATCAAAATTGCCACCAATTCGTAAAGTGGAAACCGTACTAACTAACTGCAAAAACAAATCCAAAAATTAAAAATAAAAAACATATAAAACAGCAAGGCAAAAGTGCATTTTCATGAAACTTCGCCTACATCTCAATTTCAGAAATCTTGAGAAATTTCAGAAATTTTAAGAGAGGAAATTTCAATTTTCCAAATGATACAAAATTTGGCACACACCAACGTTGAAACAAAACAAGAACAAGCAAAAAAAAAAAAAAAAAAAACACCATAAAATTTGACCCCGAAACCCTAATTTCAGTTTTGGACTCGTTACCCAGGGCCTGAAAATGGGGGTCCCCGTTAACCATTTGTGTGGGTTTTGGGACCTTGTACTTGAGTTACGAGAGACTCTCTGCACACGCTTTGGGTGGTTTCCAGTTTGCGAGGGACGGGCGAGTTGTTCTCTGGTGGTCGAGCGAACATTTTTGCAGCGTCATGCGGGTCCATGGTTGTCTCTCTTAGAGGGCTTATTTCACGACAGCTCGCTCGTCACTGGCAGCGGTCGTGGCTGTCGGGGCTTTCCTATGCCATGGTGTCGGGTTGTGGATGTGTGCTCACCCTCGCTCATCCTCTTGTGATGATTGGCGCCTGATCGCCGACGTCGGTCCGGTTGGCGGTCGTTTGCAGGTGGTGGAGGCGGAAGTGCCCGTCACCGACTCTCAACTTCGGCACCCTCATCCCGTAGGTTTCGGGGAGAGCGGTTGCGGCTTTGTTGTGGTGTTGTCTTCGTGTCCGCACTCACAATGGCGCGTTCCATTTCTGCTGAAGGGGTGTCACGACTTGGTGAGGAGGCTCTCCGCTCTTCGCCATCCGAGCAGTACTATTGAGCGGTGGCGCAGGTGGCCTCGGCCTTGCAGCCGTTGCTTACCGTATGCGAGGGCGGAGACTTGTGGGATGTGTGATGCATCCGCCGACATCGTCGCGAGGTTGGGCCCATCATCCGCCCGACTTGTTGGAATGCAAGCTTGTGCTCGTCATGTCCCCCGTGCTGTGGTCTCGGTATGCTGCACACCGTGACGGATCACGTTGCGTTGGGGTTACGCTGCGTTTCGGTTGTGGGCTGTGAAGGCTAATGTCCTCTGTCTCCTGGGTTTCGCCTGCATCGAGTTCTCTTGGTGGTGTCCACGGCAATAGACGCATGTGGATCCAGGGGGGAAGGGGTGTGTTCCTTTTGCGCCCCCGTGCACAAGTGGAGGTTTTCCGTCCGTCCGAGCATGTTGAATGAGTGGTTTATACGTTTCTCTCTTCACTCGCGTTTCTCGACGCAGAGATGAGGCAGTGCACTTCGTTGTCGGTACATTTTGGGCGGGCGGTGGCATCCGGCTGTGGGCCGAAGCGGTCGGTGGTTCCTTCGCATGCACCGTTGTTCGGAGAGTGTGGTTATCTTGCGATCTCAGGGTGTGGTGTGTGCGGGTGATGTTCTCCGCCAATCTTGTGAGCGGGTGCGGATGGCTGTGTTGGATTTTGCGGTACCTTGCCGTTGGAGATGACCTACGGAGGGGAAGTTCACCTGCAATTCAAACAGTCGGACTTCGCAGCGTCCCGACAACTGATTGCACGTTCCATGATTGTTCGACGCTCTTTTGGTAGGCTGGCCGGCGTGACGTGCCTACGTGCGCCTTGGCCATCGCTCCTTGCGGCTGCTCGTTACACCCGCTACCTAATTGATCCTGCCAGTAGTCATATGCTTGTCTCAAAGACTAAGCCATGCACGTCTACGTGTGAACACTTTGCACTTTGTGGATGAGGCCACCACGCCGACGGGTTGGCTGAACATGATGCGTGCAGCCTCCCGACGGCTCTCCCCGAAGAGTTGAATCCCCGACACCTCCACAACCCTTGTTGGAAAAGAAAAAAAAGAAACTACAAATCGCTCATTAAATCAGTTATCATTTATTTGGTGGTBTCCTTACCACTCGGATAACCGTGGTAATTGTAGAGCTAATACGTGCAGCATATCCAGACTTCTGGAAGGGATATATTTATTGGATAAAAGGCCGATSCGGGCTTGCCCGTTGTTGCGGCAAATCGTGGTGACTTCTCGAATCGCATGGCCTTTGAGCCCACGATGTTCCATTCAAATTTCTKCCCTATCAACTTTCGATGGTAGGATAGAGGCCTACCATGGTGGTAACGTGTGATAGAGAATTAGGGTTCGATTCTGAAGAGGGAGCTTAAGAGATGGCTACCACATCCAAGGAAGGCAGCAGGCGCGTAAATTACTCAATCCTGACATAGGGACGTAGTAATAATAAATAACAATACTGGCTCTTTCGAGTCCGGTAATTGGAATGAGAACAGTCGTAAACTCCTTGAACAAGGATCCACAAGTCTGGTGACAACAACCACGGTAATTCCAGTTCCAATAGCGTGTATTTCAGTTGTTGCAGTTAAAAAGCTCGTAGTTGGATTTTGGGTGGGAGGGGTTGGTCCGCTCTTGCGGGCGTGTACCGGCCCTTTCACCTTTCTTGTCAGGTATGCGTTCCTTGCGTTTATTGGCTGGGATCCAGAGTCGGTGCTGTTACTTTGAAAAAATTAGAGTATTCAAAGCAGGTTTGTGCTCTTAACATATTAGCATGGAATAACGYGATAGGACTCTGGTCCTATTTCGTTGGTCTTCGGGAGAGAAGGTTAACAACAGTCTTATTTTTCATCATCATTCCTGGGCACCCTACTTAAACAGGTGGTTTTCGGGGTCTTCGGACCTTTCACCACTTCAGGACACCCTTCACCACTTCAGGATGCTACCTGCCTGAACAGGTGGTTTTCATGGGCTTTGGACCTTTCACCACTTCAAGACCATTCCGGATTTTCAGTCTGCCCAAAACTCTCACTTTTCCACTTCAGGATGCAGCCTACCTAAACAGGTAGTTTTCAGGGTCTTCGGACCTTTCACCACTTCAGGACCATTCAGGATTTTCAAAGCGCCCAAACTCTCACTTCAGAATTTTCATTCCCGAATTTTCAGCAAGCCGTTAACCGTTTGTGGTCTTCGGGATTGGAGTACTGCTTAATAAAAACGGTTGGGGGCATTTGTATTCCTTTGTTCGAGGTGAAATACTTGGATTTATGGATGACGAACTTTTGCGAAAGCATTTGCCAAGGACGTT